ATCCACTCACCTCAGCCTCCCAAAGCACGGGATTACAGGCTGAGCCACCTAGCCCAGCTTCACATGCCTTATTAAGAAAGTATATTCAAACTTCCTCTTGAAGTTCTCCCTCCCTCCTAAATTGCTAGGAACCTTGAGAGCTCTGAAGTCCAAGAGAAGGGGAAGGGGTCATTCTGGTTTTCACATCAGCCAGGATTGAACATGACTCTCCTGGTCCACTGCCATTGCTTCATGAGACCACGCAATGTCACTGTTGAAAAGTAGCCCTACACAAGGTGATCAAATAATTTAGTGTACAAATTGAGACACATTTGATAATAGAAAGGAACACTATTCATAATTATGACAGGACAAGAGAAACCAGGTTTCCTTATATATAGGTCAAAGACCATGTTCACACTGAGTGTTTTGCTGAGGCAAGTAGATCCCATTCTTAACTCTTAAGTGCAGTTAAAGGTGCCCCATGTTTAGACTCACAGTTCCAGACTCAAGGTACGCCTCTCCTTCCATTCAGATACCCAGCTCCGTGCTCAAAAGTCAGTTACCAGAGAATCAACATTAATTCCAGTTCCTGCCTCCCTTACCCTTGCCTCCTCCAAAGGATGCCCTTCAGTCCAAGAAGTCAGCCTACTCTCTGGAGATCCATGCCTCCAAATGTCTGGAGTCTTTCCAAAGACTCAACCCTCAAGTACAAATGGCTCAATGATACTACCAAAGGAAGGCTCCAAGGTCCACACCTTTCTTCCAGGCAATTTTCACATTCTCTTGAAGCTTCTGCACCTGGAGAGGAGAAACATGGGTTTACTAAAAGGCAATGTTTGGACTGCCATTCATTTCTATGGTTAAACCTGAGTTTTCCAAGCTACTATCAATTGGCCTGTGTAGGCTACATCTCTACACGCCTACATTTCAAAATAATTTTTCTCTGAGTGGTGAGTTCGCATTATAATATGTGAAGATAAGAGGGAAAGGAAGGACAAATAACATTTGTGAAATCCCTAGTGCAAGGGAGTGATGGAAATGTAAAGACTAAGAAGATGTAATATCTGTTCTTAAGTAGGGAAGAAGAGACAGATATATCACACTATATTTCAATTATAAGTCTGTAATAGAAAAATGGAGAAAGGAACAATTCCCCATGTTTATGTCCAATAGGAGGTGATATCAGTTCCATGAATTATGCTAGACTTAGGGGAAAAATGACATGCCATGTACTAAATAAGCCGGCCATGTACTAGGAAAGTCATTCTTTACCGAAGGACTAAAAGCATCCTCCATACTAGGTGAATGTCTCAAATGGAAGTAACCAAATAGAAGTACCAAACAATTGAGCAATTGTCTCAATCTGTTAAATTGTCTGGAATTGTTAAATTCTTTATAACCGCAACTTCAAAGAAAAACCAAACCCTCTTCTCCTGGCAATTCTTAGAGTAATACACATGCATGTGTATTCTGATAATACTAACAGTTCTGAGGCATGTACTCACAACCCTGTCACCCTAAGTGGGAATATCCAACACTGTTTTAAAGTCTTGAGGATTTCCAATAAAGTCTGCATTTTGCATACAATTTCTTTCTACACTGAATGGCAATGGAACTCCAAGACTCAGAGGAACCTGGCAGTTAGTTCCCACTGGGCAGCCAATGCTGATTAAACTGGACTTAATTCTTGGCACATAAGAGGATTCTTGGCAGGGAAAAAAAGATAGGATGTGGCAGACTCCCATTTTCCAGCATCTCGCCACACGATAGAGCAAAAAATCCACACCCTCCTAACTCATGAATTTGAAACTCAGAATCTTAAAAAAAAAAGTACTTTCACACATTGTGGTTTTAGAATCATTTATTTTAAGAAAACTTTAAAAAATTGTTTTCCTTTCATGCATATTTCATTATTCATCACTCTATTTTCTCTGCTGTAGTTAAGTGGAATAATGCTGAGAAAACTGTTTAAAAGTTATTGTAGAAAATTCAAATCTCTAATGCCAGCTTGAAATCTACAGAATTTTCCTTTTTGTTGTTTAAAGTAAAGGTAAATGTTGACTGCAATCTTTGGCGTCCTACCCAGAATATAGTTGCTGAGGGGGAGAATGCAAAGCCCAGATGTCTACTCAGAATTTAAAGAAACCCAGCAAAAGAATTGATCCCAGAAGGCAAAAAAATCAGGCAAAATCATTTTTGCTATGAAATATTATTACTGTATAAGGAGATTCAGTGGTATTTTAGATGGTTTTATTTTAAAATAATAAAGGAGAGAGCAAAATCCCTTGCCACTGTAAACCTTTACATGCCTTTATTTCACTGCAGCAATTAACTGGACTTTCTTAAAGTGGTTTAAAACTTTTAATTATATAATGCTCAGAAATCAAGGTCTTTGAAAGCAGAAGCAATGGTTAAAATCACTGTTTTAAAAAATCTTTCTAGCTGGGCAGGGTGTGGAGTGCCTATATTCTCACTCGCTCCAGAGACTGGGGACTAGGATTTCGAGACCAGCCTGGGCAGCATAGTGAGACCCTGGCTCTTCAAATTAAAAATAAATAAATAAATAGACGGTTAAATTTGTCTGTTAAGAAGCAAAACTAACTCACAGCAGCTTTTCTGCGTTTGCTGTGAAAACTGGGAAGGGAACATTCATGTGCAGCATGAGGTCGAAGCACAAGCTGCTGTTGGCTGGTTGTCTTGTTTGTCCTGATGGATATTTACAGCAGAGACTGGCTATAGGTGCCAGCAGCTGGCCTTCCAAATGGTGTCTTAATTGTTACAGACAACTTGAGCAGCTTGCTTTAGCCATTGGAGCGGTGTACTTCCTTATGATTTGACCACAGCTGCATATTTTCCTCATGAACAATAGAGGGCACTGTTCCACGACAGCTTGCAGCTTGCTAGTTTTTATGCAAGTAAATTATATCTCAGCTAGATGCAGACCAGATGGACCACAGTTCAACATAACAGCAAGCCTGTCCCATTTTCACAGGTTCATAGGCTCAAGCCAGATTTGAAATCAAGACCGTAGATGATAAACTATATGAATACCTAATTGCAAGGGCTGAGTCACTATTTCCAATTACAATCTGCCTAAAATCTTCAGAATATATCTCATGAGTGGAAAGTATATTTCTTTCACAGTTTCTGTCCTAATACTTATGACCACCTTGAAGCAGGACTCCATATTTTGATAAGTGTCAAAAACAGATCTCACTCCACAATACCACATGTATTAGGTTATAATAATATTGTAATACTATAACCTAATAATAATTATATTACATACAATATGTACTATAGAATTATATATAATTTACATCGGATATATAATTTGACATATCATCTTACAATAACAATCATAATTGTTCAGGGAGACAAAGGAAAGGATACCTGTCATTCATTACACTGTAGAAACTGGATCAAAGTTCCCCTTAGTCATGCTTATTTTTTCTTTTCAAAGTCCTCTCTCCTCCTACCTCTTTAAACAATCTGTCTTCCTCTTCCTCTCCAAAGTCTTTTTAAAAAATAATAAAAATTGATACCCAGAACCATTGATCTCTTTCTCTCAAATTATATTTTCTACTCAGCAAAATCCAAATGTGAGAGTTATCTGTATAGTAACCACATGCATGCATTCTACCACATG